CTGTGCAGCCTGGGAGAACCGCTCCACCAGGCTGCCCTGTGCTCTCCCCACACATGGGAGGGAAGCTGCCTGCATCCCAGGCCTTGAGCGGGGCCAGCACTGCCCCAGGCCATCCAGGCTGGAGCTGCAGGACTGAACTGGGAGATTGGTACAGGGTTTGGGTGGTCACCTGGCCTGGATGGCGGTGGACAGCTGACCTCCATTGTGTGGGGACTTTTTGTTCTCTCTGTGCCTTTTCTCCTGTGCTTGGACTGGGCAGCTCCTTTGCCATTTGTACCCATAGAGGGGGCTCTCCACTCTCCTGCCTCTTCACCTTAACTGGCTGTTCTCTTTGTACCTTGCAGGGAAATTGGCTTCTTACTGAGGATTTTCATTTTCTCAGGTACCCTCCAGTTTATCAGTTTGAAAACGCCTGTGGTCAGTTAGGTTTGGAGTTGGTGCCTGTGTCTAGATTGCTGTACTCTCTCTTTTTTTTTTTTTAAAGAGAGAGTGAGAGGATTTTTTTTTTTAATATTTATTTTTCAGTTCTTGGCAGAAACAACATCTTTGTTTTGTATGTGGTGCTGAGGATCGAACCCGGGCCGCACGCATGCCAGGTGAGTGTGCTACCACTTGAGCCACATCCCCAGCCCCTGCTGTACTTTCTTGAAGGGAGCTTTGGAAGCTCAAGGGACGCAGTTGTTTTTCTTTTAAGTGTACATTGGCTGTTCTCATGGACAAGTCACAAACCCCTAGATTCTGGTTTCTGACCTTACTTTACTTTGGTTGGTTTTGATTTTTCCACATCTGAAATGAATTTTATTTTTTCAGAATGCATCATTACAAACAGAGAAATGGGGATTTTTTTGGGGGGGTCAGTTTTCACTATGATCACAGGATCTGCTCAGGATTCTGGAGCTACATCTGCACATGAACCCTTTGCACCTTGGAACCCATTGCACCCTTATTTCACTCTTGGGGATCTTTCACAGAACGTGCTGAGTAAGAGCAGCCGGGAGAGAACATAAATGAACTCATGCTGGAAAGAAGCCCTGTGAATATAAGTGGTATGGGAAAGCCTCTACTTGTCACACTTACCTGCACAGACACAAAAATTCTCCTAAGGGGGAGCAGCCCTGTGAATGTAAGCAGGGTGGGAAAGCCTCCACCTGTCTGCCCACCCTCACAGACAAAAGGAATCATGATGGACAGAAGCCCTGTGAGTGTGAACAATGTGGGAAAGCCTTCACTTTTACAGCTACATTCTTCAACATCAAAACATTCATATTGGAGAGAAGTTCTGTTAATAAAGAAAATGTGAAATGCCTTCCATTATTCCACTTCACTTTTCAACCTGAAACTAGTTCTATTGGAGAACAGTGCATTGAATGGAAAACTTGACAAATCGTGTAATATCTTGTCACCTTCAAATACACAAAAGGACTCCTTGAAAAGCTGAGCATGAAGAAAGTAAAATCCATATATATATAAAATCATTCAGTATTCTCTGTTGTCTTCAAAGCATTTCATTCACCAGAAACATGCATTCAGGTGAATGCATGTTTTATTTTTCTTTCTGTACATGAATATACTTCTTTTTTTGTGTGAGTGGGGGTTCGCTGATTTTTTTTAATATATTTTTTTTTTTAGTTTTCAGTGGACACAACATCTTTGTTTGTAGGTGGTGCTGAGGATCGAACCCCGGGCAGCACGCCAGGTGAGCGCGCTACCGCTTGAGCCACACCCCCAACCCATGAATATACTTCTAATGATGAAATAGCCTATGAATGTAAGGAATGTGGAAAAGCTTCCAGTTTTCTCAGTTCCTTTGAAAGACTCAAAAATGATTCACAAAGTTAAAAAAAACCCATGTAAGTAAACATTATACAGGCTTCTGGGGTTCAAATTCTCTTCATAGGTTACTCAGTCTTCCATTGCTGTGTCAGAACAAAAGGTAAAGTCACCCTAAGGGAGGAAAGATGATCAGGGGTTTCCTGTCCGTAATTGGGCACCTCTGTTGTCTGAGGTGACTTACAACATCATGCTGGGTGAACAGAGCAGAGCAGCCTACACCAGGGCAGCAGAAAGGAGATAAAGAGGGAGAGGAATGGGCCAGCAATCAGATACAGATGGCTGTTTTTGTTTCAGCTCACTGTTTTCATGTCTTCTAAGTACAATAGGCAACTGTAAATTGGGTTGAAATAATGTGATTTATTTTCTTAAAGTTGTTACAAGTAATAAAACCTAAATGCAGCTATGTCTGAGTTAAAATACTAAACTTTTAACTATAATAAGTTTGGAATTTACTCATTCTGTTTTTTTAAAATTTTGTAAAAACAAATATATTCATAACTATTGTCTCATGTGTCCTTTTCCATGTTAAAAATTGTTGTGAGGGAGCATATGGTTCTAGCATTTATGCAATATGTATTTTTAAATTATTATTTTTTTGAGGGGTGGGGGTACCAGGGATTGAACTTGGGATCACTCAACCACTGAGCCACATCCTCAGACCTATTTTGTATTTTATATAGAGACAGGGTCTCACTGAGTTGCTTAGCGCCTCGCCATTGCTGACGCTGGCTTTGAATTTGTGATCCACCTGCTTCAGCCTCCCTACTGGGATTACAGGCACGCGCCATCATGCCTGGCCTTTAAATTATTATTATATGGAAAACCCTTCACATTTTACTAATTTCCTCTCTTCACTACAACTAAGAGTGGTGATTTTATAATGGGTATATATATATTTTTTTCTATACATACTACATAATAAAGATATGGTTAAAAGCATGAAAATAAAACTTGTCAAGAAAAAAAGAATAACCAATTTATAATTTTTTTATAGCATGGATGTAAAAATAAAAGAAAGCAGCAGGTAAGCAGTAAGCAGAAGAGATGAGTAAAAGTATCTGTAAGGTGAACATGTTTTGTAAGGAAAGTTGCAGTTGATAATGATGTGTTTTTTTTTTTAATGGTGCTATTAAGGTGAGATTGCAATAAATCACCAAGTCAGTCTTAAAGCAGGAGATGGAAACTTTATTTACCAGTTTGTGCTCTAGATTCACCAGCTGGCGGGCCAAGGAGTAGTCTACAAATCTATGCCCTTCAACCCCCTCTCAGGGTTTGAGTATGCCTTTTATAGTCTAAAATCTTATTAATCACAAGTGGCTATTGCTGTGATTCAAAACCATAAACAAAAGATGAGATATAAAATCATAAGCAGAAGAGGGAGTGTGTCAAAACATCCCTAGTTGAGTACAAGTTAAAGAATGGTTACTAACATCTAGACAATCAATCTCTGATAGGGTACCTTGTAAGAATTGCCACTTTGTGTTGCCAGACATGCTATGCTAAGCAACTATTGATAGGTACAGAGGCAGGGCTTTCCCATGAGAGAATCAGTTTTTACATGATGTGGAGTCAACAGTGCTGGGATGGAACCCTTATACATGCTAGGCAAGCACTCAATCAACTGAGTTACATCCCCAACCCACAATGTTTTTGTAACAATCATGTGTGGTAGAAAAAAATTTGCTCTTAAAATAAAGTGATGGATTGTTCCTGGATGGGCAGAAGGTAGTACAGGGCAAAACTGCTGTCATAAGCACCAAGTTCTAGGTCTAAACAGGTCCTGAAACTTCAGAGGAAGTTTCAAAGCATTTATGCAACATGAATTTTGTAAGAGGAATTTTGTGAGTTTCCTAGTTGACTCTATGTTAAAATCATTTCTAGATCATTTTCTAAAAAATATCTAATTCACTGTATTAAAGTGACAAAGTTTTCTTAACTTCTTGACCTAGTGTTAGAGAAAAACAATTGAAAAAGTTTATTTAGTTTGTGTATACATAAATATATATTTTAAATTCTGAACCTGTTTCTTTAAATGTCCAACCATGTCCTGCACTGCAGTTTTACAGTTTAGAGCAATATTTTCCTTCAGTGTAGCCTAATTGATTTTTCTTGGCATTGTTCAGGGTATGGAGAATTTTAATCTATTTTTTTTCTTTTTTTCATACTGGAGATTGAACTCAGTGGCACTTGACCACTGAGCCACATCCCTAGCCCTATTTTATATGGAGGGTTTGCTGTCAATACCCATAACTGAGACCTGGGAAGGAAACAGAGGCCCAGTGTGGGCAGGCAAGACAGAATAGGTAGCCCCCATGTCCACAGGAAGGTTATAGACTTACCCGCTACCTGGAGTGTTACCCTGGGCTCAGCGAGGGTGATGGGGGTCCTTGAGTCCGGGCTTCTTCAGTCTTCTGCAAACTCCAATAGTTCAAGAGCAGGGACCGCCTGGCTGGTCATACCTCTGCGTGGAGGCATTGAGGAAGGGCCAGCCATGGGGCAGTCACTCTCCCAATGTCCTGTCTGCTTACAGGTGGGGCATGGCCTGGAGGGGGGCCATGGGGTTGGGCATTGGCAAGCCCAGTGACCTTTGCATCTACATTTGTAGCAAGCCCCTGGCAGAGAGGAATGCTGGCTCCCCCATGAAGCTTCCCCTGGAGCCTTAGGCCTCAGGGCCACTGCCAAGGCCTGTGTTTGAAGTGTTACCTTTTTCTGTAATGGAACCTGCTTGGCTAGTTCAGTTGATTCCTCCCAGGCATTATAGACCTTAAAGGCCATTTTCACCAGATCTCAGATGGGGTCTGAGGGTCCTCCTCAGCTCATTTGAGCTGTTTTCTAATATCAGGGGTTGATTGAGTAATGAAATGGGTTGCTAACACTGTAGCCCCAGAGGGAGACTCAGGATCCAGCTTAGTATATTTGGTGAGGGCTTCTGTAATACAGTTGAGAAGTCAGGCTGGATTCTCACCTGGATCCTGGGTGATTTCTCTCAGCTTATCAAAGTTAACCACCTTATTGGAAACCACGTGCAGGCCCACTATAAGACATTGGACCATGCGAACACAGTGACAGTGACCTTGTTGACCATCTTGGTGGTCCCAGTTGGGTTTGGTTAGGGGAACCACAGCTGCTTCACCTGTGGGGAGAGTCATATCTGTTAGATGATCAGCATGTTTTCGTGCAGCCTGCTGGATGCGGGCTTGCTCATTGGGGGTAAGGGTGGAGGGCAGAATGACGTAGCCATCATGCCAGGTAAGATCCTAAGTCTGGAAGAAGTATCAGAATTCCCTTAGTATAAGTAGAAGAATCAGCAGAGAAGGACCCAAGACACTTTTCAATCTGGGAGAGATCTTGAAGTGAGAATGGAAAGTGTACTCGACCATCCCTTCGGCTCCAGCCACTTCCCTGAGAGGACAAAGAAGCTTTGAGTTAGCTGGTAAGAGGGCCTGGTGGGACTGGGTGTGGGCACTGACAGGAGAAGAGAGGAGGGGTGGGGTGACGGGAAGGGTTGTATCAGTAGAAGAGGTGGGTGAAGGAGTCAGGGCTGCAGGAGAGGAGGAGGGAGAGGAGGGGGAGGGATGATAAGGAGGGTCCTGGAGTGGGGGAGGAGAAGCTGTGGTAGCAGGAGGAGGGGGAGGGGAGGGTGCAGGTGTGGGAGTTGAGGAGGGAGAGGGTTGGTCTAGGTAGGGAGGGGGAAGACAGGAAGGTGGGGCTGTGAGCATCTCAGATGGATCTGAGAATGAGGAAGGGGGTATGGGAGAACAATGGGAAGGGATTAGGGATTTCCCCTAGCCAGGAAGACTTGAACTGTAGAACAGATAGATCAGAGGGTGGGACGGCAGCAAATATCCCAAAAAGCCTGACATAAGGGACTTATGCCCACTTCCCTGTCTGGTGCCAAAAATTGTCCAAATCAGTGAGGATTTGAAAATCAAAAGTTCCTTCTGAGGGCCATTGTGACCCACTGTCTAAGTCACACTGGGGCCAGGCCACAGTGGAGTAAAAGACCAGGTGGTTAAGGCGTAGGCCTTTAGTGAAAATTTGAATATAGATAACTCAAGGGAGTTTGGGGTTCTGAGGACTTGGTGTTTCCCATGACCTTCCTGCACCCTCAGGCATGGGTGGGAACAGAAAATGACATCCCAAATTCTGATCACACTCACCCAATGGGTAAGGGCTGGGTGGGGCTTGAGGTGACCCTACAACCCAGTGGGGGCCCACAGGAGTACTGGGGACATCTCCACAGTTCCCAGGCCCTTGAGCAGAACAGATGGGGGTCTATGGCACTGAGGACGGAGAGGGGCTGGAGGGTCAGCGAAATGAGAGAACTTACCCACTCCTGTTGGCCTGGATGAAGGGAGAAGAAAAGAAAGAGCAGCTTAGGAATTTCCTGGTTCATTTGAAGGAAAGAGTAGACCTCAACCCCTATGAGGGAGGCTCAAAAAGCCCTCCTGGTTTTTGGCACCAGATGTGTGGTCAGGCACCGCTGACCAAAAGGAGGCAAATTAAAAGCAGCTGAACAAGGCTTTATTGAGATTCACTCCCTGGCGAGACCTTCCAGTCCAACAGAGCGGGTCCAGGAGAATTGCACCCAGGCTCAGATGGATTGGAATTTTATTGGGTTTAGGGCAGGAAGGGAGGGCTTGGGACAGGAAAGGGAGGTTTTTAGAGTCCCTTATCCTCCTGGGGTTGGTGGGGGGATATTGCTGAGATCCGTGTCCTTCCAGAATTGGCCAGAGACCCTGCTGATTGACAGGTGGCTAGGAGGCACCATCACTCCTTGTCTGTCGGCACCTGATTGGGTTGCCTGGTGCTTTGTTCCTTAGCCACCTCAAACCAACCAACACTGGCTATGACAGTTCTTGCTTTATAATTGTCTTATCTCAATTATAAAAATCTTATATTTATAATCTATATATTTTTACTAATCTATAACCTATAACTTACACTCTTGATGTATTTGTCAGTTCACACTACAACATTTCCAGATACCAACCACTGACCCTAGACTCCCTCCCATTTTGTCCTGTAAAACAGACTCCAAATTCTTAAGCATTAAAATTGACTACTTCACTGATTGATAGAACAAGCTTCAAATTCCTGGGTGCCCAAAGAAAGTTGATATGCTCACTAGACCACCTCTCAGGATAGCTATATAAGCACAGGCCCTTTCTTTCTGTGGGGGCTCATTTTCCACCAGGACAGTGGGTCCCACCACAGCATGATTCATCCCTGCATCCCCTGCTTCTGTGCATAACTTCATTCCTGAATAAATCACTGAGCTGATTTGTGAAGTTTGCATTCATCCCAGTCTTTTTGTGCTAACAAGTTCTGTTTCCCCAGGTTTTGAAGGTTGAACATGGAAGAAACACTGAGGCAAGCTTAGAAAGCAAGTTTTATTTAAAGAGTAATAAACAAATTTCTCCCAGGAGGAAGAAGGGGCCAGAGCAGGTATCCAAAGAAGCAGGAATGTCCTGCCTCTTTATACATCTTAGATTTTCTTTGTTGTCTTGCCCCCTTCTCCCTTATCTTTCCCCTTCCTTTTCCCTGGTTAGTTGACATAGGAGGCTAGGGTGAACCAAAAGGTGGGAAGTAAATGGGGGGGGGGCGCGGGGAGGGCCAAATATGGTGTGATCCACAGATCTTATCAGACCTAAAGTGATAACCTCTGAGCAGGTAGCAGGCCAGGAGGCATAATTAACAGCTCATGCCTGGAGGACACTTCCTGGGTCTGGTTACCTTAGCAACAGGTGGAGCTGGGGGAAGTGCTTTGAAAGGAGGAGGAGAAAAGGGCAGCATTTGATTTCCTTTCCTTTCCACCCAGTTCCCACCTTCTGGGAAGACCGAATTATTGGTACAGACCCAATTATTGGTTATGTACAGACTGTCTTTTGTCCCCAGCTTCAACAAAGAGATATCTCTGGAAAATGGTTCAAGGAGTCCCAGAGGAGAGGGGGATCTCAACTCAGCACAGTGGGGCTGATGGAAAAGAGTGTCAGCAGGAGCCAGACAGAGGCATAGACAGGCTTATTCAGGAAGGCAGATGTTGAACCATGGTGCAAAGATAAGACCACCAACTCCAATTTTTAAATTAAATTAAAGCAAGCTTATATTCAGTACACAAAGAAAGGTGACCAGCAGCTGTCTCTCCCAAAACTGGGCTAGAGATCAGCACCCAGCTATCCAGGTAAAAGGTTTTATAGCACAAAAAATTACAAAGGGGGTTGTCTTGGGAACTTACAGCTAACAGGATTCTGGCAAGCATCATACTAGGGCAGATGGCAGGTTAATGATCTACTGGCTTAACATTTCAAGATAGGGAATAAATCGAGATTCCAACATCAGAATTTATGAGGTACCACAGAAGTTTAATTTTGGGAGGGTTGTTTTCTGGTCAAGGAGAGCCAGGTATTGGTGAGTTCAGAGCATGGGCAGAAATTTCAAACAAGTTTAAACATCAAGTTGTCAGAACAAATAGAAATCTTAGTATTTTATATTAAAACAGAAATGAACTTTTCATAACTTTGTGATGAGATGGCTCCCAATCTTAAGATAGAATTTGTGTGGGTTCATCAGCAGATACACATTGAAGGGAGAATGCAGGCTGCGGAGAGAGTGAGAAACAGCCCTGACTGGGGTAAGGGTCCAATATTTATAAAAAGGCTGTATGATGGGCCAGAATGGAGGCAGATCTAGGGTGGAGCTGCACAATTTCTTGCCAGTTTTCCTGCATGGTGTATTTACCTCATTTTATAAGGGTAAGGGCCAAGGGCAATGGTCAAGGCTTGCAATTGAGTTTTCTGTATCTCAATGGCTTCATTCTGCATTTCAATGTCTTGAGGGTGTTTCTTTTTTTTTTTTCTTAAAGAATTTTTTAATTTTTTTTTTTTCATTTTCGGCGGATATTACATCTTTGTTTGTATGTGGAGCTGAGGATCAAACCCAGGCCGCATGCATGCCAGGCGAGTGCGCTACTGCTTGAGCCACATCCCCAGCCCCGAGGGTGTTTCTAATAGATATGGGAAATGAAAAACTTCCAAAATAATGTAGTCTGAGAAAAAGGAGTAAAAAAAGAAAGTCATGTATTGACAGCTTTCATCTCCCAAGACAAATGCTTTCTAGATGCTAATTGCAGGCCAGAAGGAGTTATCTTATCAGGCCTAAAGTGATAACCTCTGAGCACTTTGATCTCTGGAGTAAGTCCTCTCCAGATGCAGAGCACAGACCCCTGACCCAAAAGCCCAAATTCCTAAGAGCTCACACTGACATGTACAATGATTGATAAGAAAACCCCCAAATTACTGGGTGCCCAAGAGAACTGATATGTTTACTAGGCCATGTAAGGAGCATCTGCCATAGACATGCTGGGACATGCTGGGACTCACTAAGTTGCTGGCCATAAGGAAGAGCAGCCATTGGCATGCTTCTCATGTCTGCTTTCAATTGATAAGGAGCTGTAAGGGGAACTAGCCTTAGGCATGATTAACAATGATTGGTTTCAATTGATAGGCAGCACAGCTCCATGGAAATATGCAAAGAACATGCCCAATTGCAATTACATCATCTCATTAGACATAACCAGTGACAATGACTTTCACTGGGTGTAATAAGTCATCAGCACACACCACCAACTTGGTATTTAAAGTGCTTGTCCTGCTATGTAGGCACCCCCTCCTCCACAGAAAATTTTAACTAAGCTTCTCCAGAAATCTTCACCATAATTGATCTTAGGACTATTAGCAGAAGAGTCTCTACAAAAGAATTCAATGTAGGTAAACTTCCTATTTTCCCGTTGCTCTGTTTTACTTGGCCACTGATCTGGAAGAAATCCAGGTGCAGAATGCCACTTTACTAGTTTTTCACAAACATTTATCCAGTACAGTAGTTTTTAGAAGTGTGTTTGCAAATGCAAAATGTGATAATAAAAAGACAAATCCTTTAACAAGGCCTCTGGCCTTGAGCTGGAGCTTCACGAGATGTCTATATTTCTAAGATGAGAGAAGTTACTAATTGGGCTCCATGGTAACAGCTGGCAGCGGGAGGAAAGAAAGGGGAGAAGCAGCTCTCTCCTTCTCAGATGTTGTCCTTGAAGGGTTAACTTGCCCAGAACGGTGAAAGAAAAAGCTGATTTTATGTGAACTTCTGCAGACTGTGAACTTCTGAGCCCCTCCCCTTACATTCTGGGTATAAATTTCCCAAACTACCTGACCTTGGGGTCCAGGGGATTAATTGATTACAGCAAAAGCTGTACCCTCTGAACCTGGCTGCAGCCAAATAAACTGTTTTCTGCTACATTTGGTGCCTTGCCTTATCTGTCCCTACAACAGCCACACTGAAGAGTTTTGCTTTGATGACATCACTGAGACTGGCTGCCTCATTTTCATCCCCAGATCTAGGAAATGGTGTTCCTTGATATCCAATCATCAGCTGGAGATTACCACCAGACAACAACATCTTCTGCTCTTCCTCTAAGAGAAGTCACAAGGCATCGGAGGTACTTTGGGGCTTGTGGTTGCCCTAGGATCCTGTGATTTGCTTGTACTGTTTAATTGCCCTAGTATGGTGTGATTTGCTTATAGTGTTTAACTAGTGTGTGTTGATGGTTAGTTGGGGTGCCCCAGCATACCCAACAATTTTTGTATTAATTGTTTATATTTGATATTGAGCAATTTATAATTGCTCAGCCCCTCACCATTGCTGAGGCTGGCTTTGACCTCTTGATTGACTTGCATTCAAAGACAGTCTGCCTCTGAATAATTATCAATAGCGCTGCTCGTGATAGTCACCTCATAGGATAACCTATATAAGCCCAGGGCCTTTCTTTGTTCGGGGGGGGGGGCTCATTTTCCACCAGGAAAGTGGGTCCCAGGGCATCATCCCTGCATCCCCTTGTTCCTGCATGAAACTTCATTCCTGAATGGAGAGCTGAGCTGACTTGTCAAGTCTGAGTTCATTCCAGTCTTTTTTGCGCTAACAGTTTCCTTCAAGATTGCTTATTTCTCTCAATATTCTGAATCCCAATCTCAACTTGAGTGCATTTTGGCACATCAGTTCATCTCTGTTGGTCAGGTGGCGGTGAAAAGTAGTTTTGAAATGAGTGTAGATTCCCCACTTTGCCAAATTTTTTTTGGATTTTTTTCTTTTTTTGTACTGGGGATTGAACTCAAGGGCACTTGCCTACTGAGCCACATCCTGAGCCCTTTTTTAGTATTTTATTTAGAGACAGGGTCTCACTGAATTGCTCAGCCCCTCACCATTGCTGAGGCTGGTTTTGACCTCTTGATCCTCTTGCCTCAGCCTCCCCAGACACATTTTGGGTTCTTGTGTTGCAAATTTTGAAGAATAAAATCCATGAAAAAAAAAATCCAAAGACAATCACTGACGGGAAGTGTTAAAGGAGCTGGTTTAAGTAACAAGAAATAGAACTTCCGCCGTTCAGGAGGGGGGGGCCTGATAGCAGAAAAACTCATTTAGTTTGTGAGCTTAGAAGTTTATATACGGTTCTGGGCAGAGAATGGAACAAAATCTTTCCAAAGTGGTTATTGAAAAAGTATTCTGGGGGAATGTGGGGAAGGGAGGGGAGAAGAGGAAACAACTTAGAACATAATTTTCCTATGTGGGTATGAGAAAAATGTATTTGGACATATATATTTTATATGTCCAAATACATTCCACTGTCATGTATGGCCACTAAGAACAAATTTTTTAAAAAAAGAAGAATGCGTCCTGGGCTTCATCCTCACCTTCCTTCTATTTTCTGGATTTGGGACAAAGGAGCTGGCTGGAGACGTTCCCGCCAGTGAACTTCAGGGACTATGAAAACCACTCTTGTCGCCTGCTTGTCGCCTCACACCCAGCTCTCCCCTCCAGCTGCGTTTTCAACATCCTGTCATTTTACATTTAACGCAAAAACTGTATTCTGAAAATGGATCACCGGACTTTCTATTTCGTAAGCAGCGACACTCGCTGGTCCTATTTAGTCACCACCTTCTATGCCAGGCCAACACGAGGGCTTCCTGCCAAGGTCAGGCTCCAACAAAGCCCTGAAGTCCTGCCTGAAAAGGCCTGGGCCGCGTGCCGGTCGCTAGGGCTGACTTCAGCCAGGGATAGGATGGCATCACTGTCACTCAGCAGTGCTTGTGCTCTTCCAGGGGGGGCGCAGGGTGGAACTGTCCAATCAGGTGTGCAGGGGAGAGGAAGGGCGGGCTTCTGCAAACTCGCAGCCTTGTCTTTCTCAACCTGGTCTGCTCTTTCCTCCTCCGGTTGGGCGTCCACTGCCCACCAGTCCCAGGTGAGTCCGCGCTGCCTGTGTCCCGCGAGTCCCGAGACGTCCCTCCGGAGAACGGCGGGTCACTCCGAAGGCCCCAAATGGTGAGTGTGCGGAGAAGACAGCGTGACCAGTCAGCACGAGCCCGGGGGACCTGGAGTGCGGGGAGCTGCTGCGTGGGGCAGAGTCCCGGTGTCAGGTGGCGCTGGGCCCCTGACCCCTGGGCCCATGGGGCTGGTCCCTGGCGTCCTATCCCTTCCCTGTTGGCGACATCTCTAGGTAGGTCCTGCAGCCGTTCCCAGACTGTGTGGTGAGCACGTCGCGGAAATGAGGGCGAGGACCTGAGAGCTGGAAGCAGGGAGCGTTAGTGGCTCCAGGTGCCTGAGGGACAACAGCCTCGAGCTCAGCAGGCCTTTCCTGTTATACATCAACAAGTTCGGAGTACATGGAGGCCGAGGAGTTGGTGCAGTTCTATTGGAGGATGCATTTTACAGTCCTTGTTTGGGCTGGAGCTTGTCCTCAACCTAGGGACCCTTAGCTCATACAGTTAGGGACTTTTACTGCACTAAGACCAAAGGGGAGTTCTTCAGTCCCAGTTCCTTTGTTCCCTGCTTTTGCTGCAGAGGTTCTTCACGATCCTGAGGTTAAAATGTCCCCTCCCAGAGCTGCTGTTGACAAGTGCTACACCATAGCCTGTGATCTCTCAAGCTGCCAAGTTTCTATTGTGACCTATTCTAAGCCCAGGAGAGTGTCAAGGGATCCCCAGGTGTATCCTCAGTGTGACCCCAGTGGGGTCCCATTGTCCCTGATTTCTCTACAGGAATGACCTGCACTCCTCAAAGACACATGCATCCTAATGTGCACCAAGCAGGGTCTCAAATCAGTTTACCATTCTGGAGCCTCGCTTCCTTCGGAACTGGCAGCAAACCCCTACAATTACAGTTCTCTCCCAGCATTCCCAGAGGCCAACTGCACTACGTGAGAAATAGAAAGTCCAGGGCTTCATTTTCAGAATACAGTATTTATCCTTCAATGTAAAATTGGGATAAAGAAAGGCAGCCTGAGGGGAAGCAGTAGAAGGAAAGGTTCCAAGCAGTTGACACACAACAGCACCACAGCCTGTGGATGGGCAGATCAAAGTCCATGCACCTGACCAGCCTCTGATAAATGGGATGTTCCAGGAGCAGTTCAGACCAGAGAGGTCTGAAGAAAAGAAAACATTTCTTTTAGAAAGAAACACCTTTCTTTTAGAAAGAAACCTTTCTTTTTAGAAATAGTAACTGGGTAAAGACGAACTGGGTCTGTGCCAAATTCATTCACCCCAAGAAGACCTTCCTGCCACAGAGAACAGAGGGAGGTGTGGCAAGAAAAGATGCAATTCTTTAACCCAATGGGAGACAGTAAAACCTAGCTGACATTCAGAGGACACTGGCGGCCCCAGGTCCTCAGCTAATGAGGAAGGGGTGGGGGAGGGGCCTTCTGCCCTGGGGATGAAATGCTGATTGTCACAGCTGTGGCTGTGCCACATCTTGCAAATGCCTCGCTTCTTGCTCTACCGCATATTGCAGAGCATAGTTTGGGTTTGCACAGGTGAGCATGTGTCTCACACACACCAGGGCACTGTGGGTGTCAACATTTGTTCCCAAGGCTGCATTCGTGTGGAGAGTGCCCTCTGGATGGGCTCAGAGCTGTGAAGGAAGAACAGTTATCCTAAAGAGCAGGGGAAACTGACCCCAGCAAGGTGGAGCAAAACCCTACAAAGCTCTTCAGCAGCAGGAGGGGGGTGGGAGGATGTGCCTGGTGACAGGTGACTGACCTGAAGCTGAAGTGTGACCTCTCTGTGTCCAGTGGTGCTGACCTTCCTGGGTTTGTTTTTTTTAAATTAATTGTAAAATGTAACTTATTAGTAGAGATGAAAGATTAGAAAATATTCATAAAGGGCAAGTTAGAGGAATAAGTCAGGTTAAAAAAGAAAGAAATGGACAAGAAACAAAGAATCATTTGGTCTTGTATACCATTAATTGAAACTTCTTTTGTACTGTTTTTCTTCCCTAGAGTGAGTTTACTATGTTTCTCGGATACTTTTTTTTTCTTTCTCTCTTTTTCTTTCTTCCTTTTTTCTTATCTATCTCTCTCCCTCCCGCCCCTTTCCCTTTGGGGGATGTTGCTAATTTAAAATAGAATTCCATGGCTTTTCTTTGGTGATGCTTCCTGGGAATAGAAATGAAGAAAACCTCTGTTTCAGTGTGGCTGCAGAAATTAATGCATTTCCAGAAGAAAGTACATAAGATAGTTTCCTTATTACAAAGATTCACTGTTAGACCACGATGCACGAAAAGACCACTGACTCCAATTAAAATCAAATTAAAGCAAGCTTATTATTTCGACCGGCCGGGCTGCCTTGCCCATCAAAATCGTGGGAACCAAGGACAGCTGCGAGGCTTCCTTGCAGCCCAGTTTTATAGCCCAAAAAGTTACACAAAGGGAGGTTACAGATAACAACACTCTGAGGAGCATAACACAAGTTTACATTTTTGCTGGCCCCGGCATCAGAATTTATGGAGATCTTAGAGACTCAGAGAGGGTTGTTATCCGGCCAGGGAAGGCCAGAATTTATGAGGCGTCACTAAGGTTTAGGAAAGGGTTGTTATCTGGTCAGGGAAAACCAGACATGGGTGAGTTCAGGGCATGGGCAGGCATTCCAAGCAGCTTTACAACATCAACTAATGGCCAGGCCATACAGACATCCTAATATTTTTACAGAAAACAGAAATGAATCCTTCATAACTTGTGACAAGCTGGCTTCTGATCTAAAGAGAGAATTAGGCTAGTTATATCATCACCAAATCCTAAATTGCAGGGTTGAAGCAGTGGATGGCTGTGTTCTGTGTCCTGTTATCTCAGGTGAATGTTTAACACTGATTCTTCAGAGACTGAGAAACTTCTAGTTCTAGTCACCTGAGATGATTGTTAGCAAATCTTATCTTGGAAATAGTAATTAAATAACATGTTCATTTTCTAAGTGAGATGGGTAATTTTGATTTTCCTACTGAAGTATTAAATTTAAGTGAATTAAATTTTTTTCTCCTATAAACATAAACACTGAATTTGAGTGTTTTTACTGGGTTCTTTAAATACAAGTCTGTTCTGTTGAAACGTTGACTGAGAAGCTGAGATCCTTAATCCCAGTAAGTATAATCCAAGGTCAGACTGGATCCTGAAAAGGAGGTCACTGAAGGTCCAGTCAGAGCTTCCTGGGCAGCCTCCCCTACGGAGGCCCAGCTGCTCACACCAACCCTGGAAGGAGCCATTTAGATTGAAAAGCTCCAGAGCTCTGGAAAGCTGGGTCCTCAGGCAGATGTGATCATGACCAGATGGGAAGAGTAAGGAGAAGCCATTTCTGAGGATGCAGTTGATATTGCCCAGGGCTGTTCCCAGAGTGTGCAATGAAACAGATTCAGGTGAGAAGCAACTTTATGCTAAAGGAGCACTGCAGGAGTGGGGAGAACCACAGGTGAGCTCTGCAAGCACCCACTGCTCATGGAGAAATGGGCTGCTTTCCTAGGGAGGGGCAACACAGTTGGGGAGGGCATTGAGGAGGGGGGGCAGGGTCAGATGCCAGGTCAGAGGATGTTTCACCCAATGGGAGCCTGTTCTATGGAGGGGTGAGGGAGTGGGGGGGTCCCATGTTGTCTCCAGCTACCAGTAAGTCAGAGTTTTCGGTTTGATTCATGAGGGTTTTTTCTGAGCACTGAAGAGAAATCTGTTCAGCTAAATCCCTATGAGGGTTGGGATTTTCAGAATCAGGGTGTGTCTGCCCTGGGTTAAAAAGGGAGCATCTTCTGAGTCTTAATAGGAAGGGGGTCTCTTGTGCAGGTACTGCTGTAGCAGCATGCAGAGGAGGGGGTTTTCTTTATTTATAGTTTTTTTCCCCCAGGATTCCTTTTGGCAGTTTCATTTTGGTTTGGAGATTTTCAAGAATAATTTTTAAAATTTGTTTTAATTAGTCATGTATGACAGTAGACTGCATTTATGCATTATGGTATATCATACATAGATGGGATATGATTTCTCATTTTTCTGAATATACATGTTGTGGAATCACATTGGTCCTGCAGTCACATATATACATAAAGCAATAATGTCTGTTGCATTCTACTATCCTTCCTCTCCTGCATCCCCTCCTCTTCCCTCCCTCTAATCTAACTCTATTCTTCTCTAGTGCCCCCCCACCTTATTGTCAATTAGCATCTGCATATTAGAGAAAATATTCGGTGTTTGTTTTTTTGAGGTTGGCTTGTTTTGCTTAGCATGGTATTCTCCAACTCCATGCATTTATCAGCAAATATATATATATATATATATATATATATATATATATATATATATATATGAATGAGACACTTAGGTTGATTCCATAATTTAGCCATTGTGAGTTGAGCTGCTATAAACATTGATGTGGCTGCATCACTGTAATATGTTATGTTGATTTTAAGTCTTTGGGGTATAAACCAAGGAGTGGGATAGTTGGGTCAAATGGTGGTACCATTCTGAGTTTTCTGAGGAATCAGCATACTGCTTTCCATAATGTTTGTACCAATTTGCAGTCTCACCAGCAATGTATGAATGTAACTTTTTCCCCACATCCTCGCCAACATTTATTGCTGCCTGTATTCTTTATTTTTTTGATTTTTTTTGTAGTTGTGGAAGGATAAAATGCCTTTATTGTATTTGTTTATTTATTTTATTTATTTATTATTATATTCTTCTTTTTTTTCTTTTTTGTGGTGCTGGGGATTGAACCCAGGGCATTATGCATGCAAGGCAAGCACTCTACCAACTGAGGTGTATTCCCAGCCCATTATAGGTTGTGGAAAAACCAGTCCAATCTGTGTTTTAAAATTTTGTCCAGAAGAGAATGGATGACTATCAGTGCTTCTCTCCCAAGGGGGGTGGGTGGGTGTTATTTATTCCTGGGATGAGTTACCTCCTCCTGAGCCAAAGCCTGGTTGGGATAACATTAATTGTGCTTTCCAGGTCCTTTCACCCTGAATGGCTTTTTTCCTAGACCTTCAGTAGATCAGGCAATTTCCTTTTCCTTGAT